CCCCCAACCGACAATGAAACCCAATTCTCCAGTTTCTATGCTTGCAGCGGCCAGCCTTTTGTATTCAAAACATATTGGCTTAATTGTGTCGCTAAATTTGAATTGCTGCACCAGTCTAACGATTGCCAGATCATCCTCATAATAGCCAACGCGATCTTTATAGCTGAAAATATTAAGCAAAAGTTTAGTATGTAAATTTGCTTGCCATTAATTGAAATATTTAATAAAGTCTTACTTTGATGGCACATATATCTCAGTAACATCAGAGCCTTCATTGATGATATAAACGGATATTAGTTGTGCAGGAGAGACTTTGTATAGTCTCGTTGGATATATTTCCAAGTTGGCTTCGTCCCAGAAGCAATGTGCAGCTGCGCGATACAGAGAGCAAGACGGAAAGTATAAATATTGCTGATTTGTATTTGCAGAGTTTACAGCTAGTGCAGACTACCAGAATGACCACTGGGTGGAGACCAAGAGCCATTTTTTAAGCTCCGTGGAAATTTGAGGTACAAAATGTGAAGAAAGCCCTATCTAAATATTTACATATATGTATATGCCTATGATCTTTTTTCAATGATGGAATTACTGTAACGAGCACGATGTAGGGAGACAGAGGTGGCGCACTCAGCAGTACCGCTACTTTGTTCTTGGCGAATTTGACAGAATCAGTTGTTCATGTGACGTCATTTAGCAAACTGTTTGTATGTATGCAGAGAAGTTTATATGTATGTAAATATGGCGACCCCCATGGTTTGACGGTTAACACTCTTTCTCTCCTCCATCTCCAACTACTCTTTTCTATTCGTTGCTATGTTGACGTCATCACCCGCAGGAATGCGCAATCTTGTATTCTATCATTCTTGGTAACGAGCTCGGCGAACCCAAGTTTGATTGCTTTCGTCAATGAACAGCAGAGTGTCCAGATTTCGCGATTTCGCGCCAATTTGGCGATTTTTTTTTTTTGATATTTGCGCGTACTTACAATTATTGCTACTTTGCTTTAGGTGCTACTTTGGGCTCGGTAGGCAATTGCAAAGCAGAACCTCTTCTCGACGCACAAAAATTACGCTCGTAAAAATATGCCCGTCATAGGCGATGTCGATGAGAAGGCGTTAGGTGCTTTCGAAAGAACTATTCTACCCTAGATCTGTGACTCTGCTCGCGTGGGCACCTATAGATGGACAACGAAAGAAAGCGCGCTCACGAAAAGTCTATGTGAAAAAGGATCTGTCTGCACTCGGGAAGTACAACTGGCGCAACCTCGCAAGGGACAGATGCAATTGGATTGCGGAGTTTTTTGGTCTCGCCCCCAACCAGCGAACGGTTGTAGAGGCAAATAATAATAATAAGAAGAAAAAGGACTAACTATTGAGGATGTATGTAGCATTTTCAAGTACTGCCAAGTATCAAAATGATTCTTCCTTGCAATGCCATATGAGCGCTCAATTCTCTACTCAGTTTACCTTCTCTAAATAGAATTACTATTTTAAGATAAGGATGAAATTCTTGGAAATATCCGCGAACAATGCTACTAAGTGCCCCTGTTGTGTGACATTTAGAGGTACTAGATATGTCTGTAGGTTTTTGTGAAATAAGCGAATCTAAAGTAATGGAGTGCATTGGCTTTACCTGAAACAACAATGCGCGCCGAAACTATGGATCCACCACAAGTGCGCTTAAAATCCTTTTCATTAAATTTACTGTAGATACCCACATGCCAGGGTGCTTCCGTTACATTAACCATGCGTCCTTGACTGGCGAATGCTATCGACGGCAATTGTACATAGCCGCAACGCATTTGACATGAGTATTTTGGTTTATTCCACTTATACTCGTTGGTGCACTGCATGGTTGTATCTCGCCATGTTCTAAAGGAAAACGTAGAATTTTCGTAATTAGTAAATTATTTAATTTAATTCATATTTTTTTGATTTGTTTGCTTACTCCCTGACTCGATACTCCGTCTCACATCGGATATCGGCACGTGTGCCCGGTTGAATATTTTTACATGGCACAAGCCCATCGTCGGTGTAGCAAATAGCTTTTGTTGAAACGCCTTCTTGCAGCACGGTTGCATTGCAGAATTCTACAAAAGATAAAGAAGTAAACAAAAAAGTTAACACTGTCGCTTAGTACTGGATACCTTTCTGTTATGCTCTTCCATGCAAAATTACTTACTAGTACAACTCGGCAGATTGCTCTGCCAGCCTCGGTTTTGGCAATACATTTGCTTAACACCATCCACTAAGTAGAAACCCGGCTGACAAGCGAAACTGACAATTGTATTTGTCGGCACCTTTGCGCCGACTCTCACAGTTGTGCCACGCAATTCGTCTCTGATAATTACATTTGCAAGACTTTCCGGTATTTTACATCTATCGTTAACCGGCAAAGTTAATTCGGGGTCGGCGTATGTGGCTGGTGGTTTTGTTGGCGCCTTTGTTGTTGTAGCAGCCATAGTTCTATCTGTTGGGAAATAAACCATGCCCGCTCCAGTGGTACTCGAATTTTTTCGCTTTCCACCGCACAGCGCATACGATTCATCAGAGCCGTCCAGACACTCTACGGTTCCATTACAGGCGGCTTTGCCTGCAATGCATCCGCCATAGGCGCATTTGTGTGCGTACGATGGACATCCGAAGGGTGCACATTTCTCCAATGTCTCGTCATCACCAAGTGTGCAATCGCGTACGCCATCGCAAGCCTTTTCACTATCTATACACTCACCGGTACCGCATTGCATTTCCGAATCTCTTTGGTATGAAAATGCATTCTTAAATGTATGCATTAAGCAGTTTGTTGTTTTTGTTCGACTTACCCACATCTACCGCGTAAAACTTCTTCCACTTCATCCCTCGTCATCTCGCACATGAAGGGTAATTCGTCAGAGTTATCGGCGCAGTCGCGTTGCTTGTTACAACGCTTAGAACCCTGTATACAGGCGCCATAAGCACAACGAAATGCATAAGAAGGACACGTCGCATTGACGAAACAGTTTTCAATACTTTCATCCGAACCATCGCGACAATTCCGCATGCCATCACAAACAAATTCACTATCGATGCATTCGCCATTATCACAGGTCCAATCGCATTGGGCTCGAGCTAAGAAGAATGAAGAACATATGTCGATGAGTTAAAAAAAAAAAATAAACAAAGTATGTATGTATGTAGGTCAATTAAATCGGCAGTTGCCTTTGGTCTTTTGGACTATATCCAGCTATACAACTGATTTTCTTCATCGCGACAAGATACCGCCTTTCCAAATCATTTCCAACTATTCGGTCATTATTCGGAAAGGACTCATTCGTCAAAGAAGTTCTTAATAGAAGGGAAACGAATAGTACCCAAACTAAATATGAAGTATTCACCATTCCTAATTGGGGACAAAATATGCACAATGTGGGCCCACGGCCTGGCTATTAGTATGTATTACTTACTATAGAAAGTTTTAAGCTGTCTGAGGTGCTTTTTCATCCAAGCTACATAGGACGAATGTGAACCAGGAAGGTACATGTAACTGCCTTCCTCCCCTTTGTGTGACAACGCACGCCACAAATAGGAGGAAAAGCTTGGCCAAACACTAACATATGTACGTATTATTATTATATTTTCTTCTTATTTTGATACTTCTTTTTCCTTTTGAATTCATGTATTTCAAGATTATATCGTTAAAAAAAAATATTAATTAATTTCATAAAATTTTTAGCAAACCTATTTTATATTAAATATTCGTTTTTTTAATTTTAATTTTTTCTTTTTCCAATTAATTTTTAGGTTATATTTTTTGAAAAGAAAAACATTTCGTTTTAATTTCGTTTAATATGTAGGACGTTATTTTATTTATTGATTTTCTTTTACGATTTAATTTTCATTTTTAGATTTTATCGTTATAAAAAGAAAAATACATATTTTTTTAAATTTCATTTACATTTTAGAAACATGTATCTTTTTCTCCTGTTTAACTAATTTCTTCCTTTTTTAATGTATTTTTTTTTTTAACTTTAGGTTTTATTGTTTTAAAACGAAAAATATATTTTTTAGTTTTATTTCATTTTATTTTTCATTTGTTTTTTGCTGTTTATAACTTTATAACAATTATATTCAACAATTTATTTAGCTTGAGGCTGTTTTTTATGAAAAATTTTGTGGAAAAGCAATAATAATTTACAAAGTTAGAAGTTATAGCTGCTATTTCGGAGATCACCACATCCCCTCGTCAGACCTCATTAGCCGCGGTCACTGGGATATGAACTACCGACTTTGGATTACAAAGCCAAACGACATCGAGCTCAATAAAATTTTTGAATAGAACTTATTTTACTTTAAAATGATTTTAAGAGGATTTGTTTTAATTTCATTTAATTTTTAGGACCTTTTTTATTTTTTAATTCTTTTATTTTTTAGATTATTTATTTTCAAATAATATATTTTATTTATTTTATTTTTTAAGTTTTAGGAACTCTTTTTTAATTTATCTATGTATTTTTAATTTAATTTTCTTTTAATATTTACATTTTATTATCTTAAAAAGAAAAATATTTTTGTTAATCTTCATTTAATTTTTAGAAACTTGTTTTATAATAGTTTTTTGTTAATTTTTTTTGTTTTAGTTGTGATTTCTTTTTAAATTTTAGTTGCCCACTGCAGCAGACATACTATGTATGTAAATACATATGTTAGTTTTAAAATCAAAACTAAGTAATCTTTTGAAAACAGCGAAAAACTAAAAAAGACATTAACAAAAAACACCAGTTCTTCCATTTTATTGACGATGCCACTCTATGACGGTTGCCGCACGTATTTTAATTCATAAAAAGAAGAAAATCCACTAAAGCGAAAATAAGATTTCGTAGAAAAAATAAGGGGACTTAAAAATTCTTTAATCTCTCTTAAATTACTTTTAAAACACTCAATTTCATTGGAACCTAAATCAGATTAGCATTTACTGATTTCTCGATGTTGTTATTGAATTACGCGGGAAATTTGCCGATAATAAGCCACCTCCGCATGCCGATAACAAAGTGCAAACATCGACATTTTGATTGATTAAGAAGGACTAAAAAAAAGTTTTGTGAAAAAAAAATTAAATATGTATTTGTGCACATGTAATTATTTAGGCATACATTAATTTTTGTTTACAAATATTTATATGTATGAACGCTGCGCTCAGTGATTTTTCTTATCTCTCTCTCTCTCTCTCTGTTATCTTTTCAACTCCCTTTCTCGCGCTCTTTTTTTTTTACTAGAAAACCAGTTAAGAGTTTAAATTTTTTTAATTACTCTAAAGCACTACTTTGAGAGCAAAAAGAAGCTAATAATAACACAAGATGCGCGTAAAGACAAAAAAAAAACAATAAAAAACCCAGCTGTCATTTAATACTTTCGGGGAAAGCACCAAATAAAACAATTTAAACCAGTACGATTTTCGGGAAGGTTCAAAGCAAATATTCCACACTCACCCAAACGATTGCTAAATACCGCCAATAATGATATCAAACAAATATTTATTAGTGTACTGCATGTTGAAGTCATCGGGCGGCGCATAATTAGCAAAGCGAATACAGCCAAACAACAAAAAAAAACACTATTTCTTTATAAAAATATATGAACTACGTTCATACGCATACATACATATATAGTATGTTTATACAAATATGTATAGGCGTACACAATTTTATTTTCTTTCTTAATTGTTTAATTAATTTTCTTACGCGCTGGCTTTTGAAGCCGCTAAACGCTTGGCACTTGTTCCATCAAAGTTGAGTTTCCGAAAGCTACTGAAACAAGCAAAGCGTGCTCAGCTTCATTTTGAATCTTGCGAAAAATTACCCTGCAGAAAAAAATATCAATTGATAAAAAATAACCAACTTGTAGTTAGCTTGTTTGCGGGATTTCTATAAAATATATAACTTGTAGTTAGCTATAAAAATCTAACTTGAAATTAATTGAAAAGTAATGCATGAGTAATGCAGACGCAATCGGGAGATTATTTTCTTTAAATGCGTTTCTATTTAAATATCCTGCGCTTCACGAATACTTTTTCGAATTGAGGACAAATAAAAGGTAGATCGAAATTTCACATTATCATTTTGAAGTTATCTCTGACGGAGTTCGAATATGGGCCCACCTACAGCAGAATATGTAAACATGTATGAAATGTAATAAAATAGAGTAAATAAATAAAAAGTAAAAAAATCAAAAATATTTTGTTTTTCCTAATTGATATTTTATGTCCAAAAGCAGTTAGTTACAAGTTAGTTACATGAAATGCAGAGGTAACCACCCTTGACTAACGTGGCCATGGCCATTACAAATATAGTTAGCTTTCCTCAAAGGAAATATAGTGGCCTTTAGTTCCTTCCTAATCAATATAGAATTAATTTATAGTTAGATGCATTTCCCGCAGGGTAGTTGCGCGTATACATACACATGTACACATATAATTACATATCGTCACCTAAAATGCAAAAAGACGTAACACCAACGTAACTAAAATGGTTAAAGTCGTGACTCATATTTTTTATTTTTTTCATATGATGTGGGAGTTATAATTCGATTAAATCCATCAAAGATATTAATCAAAAACTGAATTTTGAATTTTTTATTAGTTACGACCTTTTGTATTTCAGCGACGATGTTTTTTACGTCTTTTTGCATTTCAGGTGACGATATGTACCTTTTATAATACAGTAGCGTGCACAATTATAGGATAGCGTGTGAATTGTATATCAACATTTTTTTCATTCGTTCGGAAATATTAAAAGTTTTCATCCCAATTGCATTCAAACGCCCATAATTCGTTGGCAAATTGGCAATAAAACGATGATAAGCAGCGCGTTGTCTGCGTGCAAAGTTTTCTAAAGCTATGCATACATTTTGTGTAGACATGCTTAGGGCTGTTTTCTAGACTGCCTGTAAAATTATCGATAAAAAGTCGATACATTTTTTAGCAGGAAGTGGTGGAAACGGCCCTTACCCCGGGTGCAAAGATTTTTAAAGTCTTTTATAACTTTATGGCATTTCTTCATATAAATCCGACACTACCAAACACATCACGCGGAAGGAGCTTTTAAAGCTTTCTGAAGCTCTCTCTGGTGGTATCTGCTCTTTATGTACATAAATCACGTTCAAAACGTATTCGGCCAATGGAGCTTTTTAAAGCTTTCTATATACATATTTCATACGCACAAAAATTGGATGAGTAAAAAAAACACACGTTGTGGGAGAGGCTTGTCAAAGTTTTCAGCCGATTTTATATGAGCGCGTTCAGGGTAAAAGTTCTCACTTTTTTCATTCTCCTTTTTTGGCTCTACAACCGTTCGTCATTGTACTTCCTCGAGTGCAGACAGGTCCTTATACACTTGGTCCATCCATTGTGTTCGTAGGTGCGCTTTCTTTCATTGTCCACCCACGGGCGTTGGGTCGGGAGTCTTTTCACCAGGCCCTAGGCCAAGCTAGGGCAATCCATGTATTTTTATGCGCTTAACTATGTACATGTCATTAAAATGCTCGTAATGCTCTCACTGGACCGGTAGCTAATATAGTTACCGAAATTTTTACCGTGAGAGAAGCTTTTTAAAGCTTTCTGAAGCTCTCTATAGTGGTCTTTGCTCTATTTATACATAGATCAGTCACAATCAAAACGCATCAGCGGTATAAGTATTAAAGATTTTATACGGATTCACACAAACTAAAATCTCCTGCTCGTCGTCATTGATACATACAGATAGGGGCATAAGGAATATTTTTATATTGAAAGGGAAGAAACATGAGTAAAAAGCATACTAGAAAGTTTTCCAGTTTTTCGGTGCTTATTTTTTTGTTTGCCCAAGATTCAATCCATACTGGTGAGGATTAACAACTCCTATCTTTGACAAGTGTTTCCTTTACCTTGTAGGGGCCAGTAAGAAAACTTGTAACAGTTCTTACTTTATGACTACTAAGCTGAAGGAATGCTTTGGTTCTCCTTGTGGATATTCCCGTGGTGAAGGAGTTAGCCTGTATGTCCCAAGAAATATACCTCTCTGAAGAATATGAGTTTTTAACTCTTTTTAGCACAAACCTGTATTGTGCATAAGTACATCACTGTGAACAAGTTTTATGAAAGTACTTAACCTTGTTCCATTTCAAAGTCAACGAGTTCCATATGTTTTGTTTTTATTGTGAAAAATTTGTCATTCGCATCAACAGAAAAATATTTTTCACTTAAGATTTTCTACAAATCACACAATACAAGCGTTATGAAGTCGCGTCGCAAGACACTTATTCTCTTCGGGGTATGCAACTTAATTGTTTTCATCTGCCTAATCTTGATCATCTGCCTGTCCGGCTTCCTGCACGAGTCACGCAAATTTAGGGCGCTACTCTTCGTCATTGTCGTCGTGTTATTTTTCCATTGCCTCATTGGCGACTTCATCAAATTTCTTGGATACGCCTGTTATGCCGCATTGCGCAAGAAACCAGCCATACAGGAAGGACCGGATGTGGGACGCTCTGCAGCCACTAACAACTACGATGAAGACGCGTTGGTGCGTCTGCAGCTAGCTAGCCACGAAGCAGCCATGCACGCTACCTCAGCGCACTACAATGAGTCGCTCAATCTCAAATACAAACTGATTATCAACGAATTGCGGCTCTATGGACTCTATTTTCTGCTGCTAATGCTTTTGGTGGTCGGCTCGCGCGATTACCTTACCTACTACAATACACATACGCTTCAAACGGTTTTCCTGGAAAAGCGTTTAGATGCTGCCGGACTGTATTATGTGCACACGCCGAATGATGTCTACGATTATATAAGACGCATTGTGGTAAAAGCATTCAATCAGGGTCGCGACTACAATGAGGAGGTTATAGAAGAACCCGGCTGGATACAATATAATATAGCTAAGCTATTGGGCGTTGTGCGGCTGAGACAAGTGCGGCGCTTGGATGAGCATATCGGTCTCGACACGCCTAGCTTCGATGAGCGAAATTTTATGCCACGTTGGCGTTTGCCATACGAACAGCTGCACTACATCAGCAAGTATATACACACTTACGGACCGTGGTTGGAGGGACAAGTAGATTGGAATATATTTACGCCGCGTCATCATTACGGCAATTTGCATACGTATGCAGAGAATAACGGTTATGTGACTTTTTTGTCGCGCGACTTGAACAATAGCCTGAAAATATTGGAATATCTGAAAGCATCGAACTGGATTGACGCGCGCACTGCAGGTGTCTTTATCGATTTTACGCTCTACAATGTCGACTCGAATATCTTTAGCGTCTGCACGATTCTATTGGAGTATACACCCTTCGGAAATGTGCTGTCACATGTCGATGTGCAAAGTGTTGAGTTGCTGATGAATTTAGATAATGTACCCGGCATAATGTTGCTCGTATTCCTCTTGTACCTTCTCACCTTGATATACTTCGCCAAACATTTGGTTTTGAATATGCTCTACAAAACAAAAATGTCCTCGTCGCCCTGGAATGTTGTGGACTTTGTGATAATTGCTTTGAATTTGTTCATCCTGATTTTGATTATTGTACGCGAGGCCAAGGTGGCAGCGTTAATGGCGCGCTTCGAGGACTCGATGAAGCTGGAGTTTGTGGATTTTCGCGTGCCAGCCCAAATCGACTATCTAGCCAATCTGATGATTGGTTTTCTCATTTGCTTGACCACCTTGCGGCTGTGGAAGATTTTTCAGTTCGCCAAACCTTTTCGTGTCTTCACACGCACGCTGTATCGCGCCCGCTTTGCGCTACTCACGCTGCTGGTGATCATCGTTATATGGCTAATCGCTTTTGGCATCAGCTCGTACATAATCAATGGCAATGACAGCGAACACTTTACGCACTTATTCAGAAGTTTCGCCGCCTCGATGAGCTACTCATTTGGCTTCAGCAGCACTGTTAGTCCCTACGATCTAACCTATGGCGGCTTGACGCTCGGTTTCATTTTGTATGCGCTCCTAATGTTTGTAATTGCCATTGTTTTGCTGAATCTTTTCATTACGTTGATTTGCGACTACTTTGCGGAGAACAAAAATACACCAGACGATGAGGAGGCGAGTGAGCTGGGCTTTTATGAATTTCTTCGAGTTGAATTCGGCAGTTGGGGTCGCTGGTGTAAGCGTACATGTTGCAGTTGCTGTGAGAAACGTGTCTATGATCCGAAGAAGCGCAACGTTAAGCAACGAATCGATAAATCTGTGGCGGATGCTGAGAAGAAGGCAGAGAAACGCAAGTTGGCAGGTCGTGAGGATGCGGGTCCACCATACGGCCGGCACTTGCGTGATCTCGATCAGGTGCGAGCTATGGCGCGCAAGATGAATGCGCAGATCGCACTGCTGCGTCGCCATCAACGTTGGCGTCGACGTTAATGAATACTGGCGCGGGGGGAGAATATATATTAGAAAAAAAAAATAGATAGATTAAAAAAATCATCCAGATCCATTAATTTTATTTGGACAATTTCATTTAAACTGTTATTATGCTTGTAAGACTTTTATTTAATGTTTATTAAAAATAAAATTATAATATCATTCGTTAGCGGTTGTGTATGCCGAACGAGAAATCTTAAGAGAAGAGTGAACTAAAGGAGTTGGAATGGAACAAGGATAGCTGACCTTTTGATACCAACACAATTTTGCCAGGCATGAAATCGAAGCCTGAGCAGCTCAACTCAGCGCTGCCAAAAACCTCATACCAAATCTTATAGAGGTGGACTAGAAGCTCGAAAGATGTTCGGCCATCTCATTCTTTTAAAGATAGGAAAGGCAAAAGGGATCGTCATGTATGCTGATCACAATCAGGTGTTTGTGCCACAAAAAACAGTCAGCAATTTAACAAGTTGTATGCGTTCCCATCTTCCCAATGACTAACTCGCTGCGGACCCGGGAATCTCTGATCTGTGCCCTCTCTAGCCCAATGGTCAGCTGTCAATTCACCAGTTGCTGCCAAAAAAATTTAGTCGAGTCTTGCATTGCCGCATCCGCCTAGAAGTAGTCCAAGGGATAGTTAACGCCTTTAGTGCACGACAGATATGTATGTAAAATCCTGCATCTTTACTTAATATCCACCACGTAGTTCATGATCTTGAGGATTGAAAACACCTCAGTTCGGAATAACGGCTCATCGTTTGCGTTTAGGCAGCATTCAGCCTCTGGAAAATCTCTTTAGCAAAGACGGATTGCCTAATCTGCAGATTCTCTCTCTTTCAATCGTTGAGCTAGCGATGTAGGTAGAAATGCAATTCTCTGCCACCAATAGCATCAGCAGCGTCTTTTTCCTCTCTACATACTTAGTTCCCTAGTTGAAAATTGTATAGGAATCCTCGAACGAAGATCTCAGAATGATGTAATCTGATCTGTGTTGACATCTAAGTCAGTCTTGATCTTGTTGTGCGCATAGAGGGTTTGCTGCAACAATTTTGATTTTCCTGCTTTGAGAGTCGAATTTGCGGCTGCTGCAGTATTGAGAACTTTCACCGGCTATGAAGAGCTCTGAGTGCACTTCTCTAAGAACCGACATAGGACTAGCTTTAGAGACCATTTTTGACTAGCTCCGAAGAAGTTGTATTTCACGTCGTTAAACCAGGAATGTTACGTCACTGCACAGCAAAAAAAAGCTGCTTCCAGAGCCATGCTATAATCGAGCCCATCGTATGCAGTTACAATGAAAATATATCCTTCCAGAGATGCGTCTGCTCATTACTAAATATTTTATATTGGCGCGCACATATCAAAAACTTTACCTGGTCGGTCGCTTGCTATGTGGGATCGCTAAGAAACGCCACGCACGGTTGAAGGGTCTGCTACAAGACTTGGGAAAACCGAGAGTTCTCTCCGAGATTTTTGGACACATGCAGAGTATAGCGATCACCCTGGTCTTCGCTCGATGGGCGGACCTTAAATCCACATGAGAGGCAATGCAAGAAATGGGTAGTGTCCGTTAATTATTGCTCACTGAGTGTACTCTTGACAAGTGCAGCTCGCTTAACTTAACCTAATCATCATTGAAAAACTTAAAAGGTATACTTTAATATTTGCTGCGAGTATTATAAAATAAAATCTTTAAGTATTTGAGTACTTTATTTTGTAAAAAATGCATAAAATCGTACTAATATTTATAAAGTGAGATTCGCAAACTTAAACTAGAGAGAGAGAGAGAGAGAGAAGTTCGTTGTGGGATTTGAAAAGGTAGACATGCCTTTATAAAAGTGTTGTTAGGGTTAGTTTGATGAATTGAAAATAGTGGAGTAGTTTTACATAAATGATGATTAAATCTAAAAATTAGAATTTAAACTACGCAGTACAACCTAAGCGGTGGTACGGATGTGCGGCGGCAGGAACAACAAAAAAAACCGGGTACAAGTGCCAGTGGTCCATTACGTGGGGAGTGGATTTTTTTTTCAGGTACGCCTATTTACAATTCACAATTTTAGGGCCGACGTTGCTGCTGCGAAGGTGGTAGATATTCACGATTGCTATTCGCTCCGGAATTGGCCGCGCCGCCGGTCACACCGACACCAACACCAACACCGGATCCATAACTAGCTTGGGTTGATGCAATTGGTGCAACAGCATTGTTAAAGGCTTGAGCGCCGGTAGGTGCTGCGGCTGAGAAGCGACCTGCACTGGCGGCAGCGCCTGCATTATAGCCCGCGGTCGATGGCACTGGTGTTGCTGTGCTGGGCACAGCGCCGTAAGCGGTTGAACGTAAATTGCCCGCGCCAAAAATGCCACCGCCGCCTGCTGGTAGCGTAGCGCTTGTAGCGCGCAAGCCACTACCACTAGCGGCACCTGGATAATTAGCCGGTTGGCGCGCACCCAATTGAGCTGTGGCTCCCGCATTGCTGTATGCGCCAGCGGTGTTGCGTTGTTCATTGCCATAATCGTAGATGTAGGCGTTGTTGGCGTAAAGCGCAGGTGCGGTGCCGCATTCAAATTGATTCCACCACACGCAAACGAGTGTTTCCTGGCTGAAGATGGTGCCATTCGGACAGAGAAACGAGTAGGTGCGATTGAGCGCGCAAATGTGAAAGACCTGACACTGCGCCTCAACGTCCGAATAATAGCCGGGCAGTTGCTGCGTACAATCGAAATTGGTTTGAGGCACTTGCGCGTACACTGGATAATCGACAGCCGGCACGCCCGGTATGGCAGAGTAGTCACCTTCGCCACTATAGTCTACGTCATTGAGTCCAGAAGTGCGCGCTGCGTTGCTGTAGGCTGACTGACCGCCCGCCAGATTCGTCAGACCGCCGCCAAATTGTGCGCTGCCACCGCGCTGCTGAGCGCCTAAAATGGGACGCTTTGCTGCGTTAAATCCTGTGCCCACTGGTAGTGTAGAGGCGCCTGTGTTGCCGCTATAGCCGGTTGGGCCGGTTGCGCCGAGTGCTGTAGGTTGTGCGCCGAAGCCACCAAATGGAGATGCAGCGGCGCCTACTGTGCCGCCATAAGCGCTGCCAGCGGTTGAGGGATAGCCGACTGCGGCGTTTGTAGGCGCAGTAATGGCATTGCTGCCGAGAGGAACTAATGGACGCAAGGCGTTTGAGCTGCCAGTGGTGCCACCGGCAACATTAGAGATCTCGGGACGCGCATAATTGTAACCGCTTTGTGCCTGGAAGAGAGTGGGAGAAAGAGAGGGTGAAAGAGAAATTAATATTCTATGTAAATCAGTCATGCCCAACGCTGGCAGAATTCCATAAGAATGTGCCCTGCGCTGGGCATTGCCTGATGTAAATAAAGTCCAAAAACTTCGCTTACCCAAGTGCCCGCGCTGAACAGCAACAGTGAAAGTCCTACAATTAAAAGAAAAAGGCCAGTTAATTAGCAGCAAAAACAAATAGGTAATTATGTATGGAGATATGTATGTATGTATGTATGTTTGAACGAGTACATATTTTTGACCGCCCCAGCACAAAATGAATTAAAGACGTCCGCTGTGGCAAATCAAAATGCCTCTACGAGACGCAGTTGGCTCTGGCCCAGTTTTCTAAGGCCAAGTTCGTCGTTGCTGCATTGAGTGTTGCCACAAGCGGCTAGTAGCGGCTGCACGTGATTGCAATCTGTTTGTGGCCAATTTGAATGCGAACATTTATCATTGCTTGCAGCAGTGAATCGACAGCGCTGAACTGGTAGCGTAATGTGTAGATATGTACGTTAGGGTGCACCACTCTTCATTAAAAAAAAATTGGTTCTCTTCTCCCATTGAAAATGTTAAATTTATTATGTTTTAAGACTTCCGTGGGAAAGGTTACAGATTTACGCGAGCTGGAGCTATTAGAAAATTATTCCAAAATTTATTTTTTTACACCCGAGCGCACTTGTGCACAAGGGTATATTAATTTTGTTCACATAACGGTTGTTTGTAACAGCCAAAACGAATCGAGATAGATATAGACAAATGTATACATAAATGATCAGGATGAAAAAAGAAATCGATTAAGCCATGTCTGTCTGTCCGTCCGTCTGTCCGTCTGTCCGTCTGTCCGTCTGTCCGTCTGTCCGTGTACACGATAACTCGAGCAAAAATTGAGATATCTCAACGAAATTTGGTATGTAGGTTTCCCTTCATCCAAGGTAGGTTGGTATTGAAAATGGGCGAAATCGGACTTTAACCACGCCCACTTCCCATATAACGGTAATTTCCAGAAATACGAAAACTGCGATATTTTAGTAACTACTGAAGATAATTCACTCAAAATTGATATTTACAATAATTTTTAGACGAAAAATAAGAATATTGTAAATTTTAGGAAAATGGGCGTAGCCACGCCCACTTATGGTTACATGTGTATATCTTGGTAACCGCTACACCAATTTCTTCCAAACTTGGCACAGTTGTTGGTCCTGGTACAACATAACAAATGGCCGAAAATTTCTAAAATCGGACAATAACCACGCCCACATCCCATATAACGGTAATTTCGAGAAATACAAAATCTTCGATAAATCAGTAAATATTGAAGCTAATTTATTCAAAATTGATGATTGCAACAATTCTTTACCAAGAAATACGTTTATGACAAAATTTTGGAAAATGGGCGTAGCACCGCCCACTTGTGATATGTATCTCGCTAGCCGTTCTAGCAATTTGTACCAAGCTCGGTATGGTTATTGTGCTTGCCACATAAAAGCAAACCGTTGAAAATTGTTGAAATCGGACTAAAATTGAGGCCGCTTTTCATATAACGGTAAATTTCAGATATGCTTGAAATTTCAATATTTCGAAATTTAAGGACGCTAATTTACTTAAAATGTATACACCCCGGCTTATCATGTAGCGGTAGCTTTCGGAAAGGTGGAAAACATATATTTAATACTTGCGCCGGGTATTTAATGTTCGGCTCCGCCCGAACTTAGACTTTCTTACTTGTTTATAGATAAAATTAATTTTTATAAATTTTTTTTCTAAAAAATCAAATCAGAAGATAGAAGGGGTGAAGCTTGAAAGCTCTGCATAAAAATATTTGAAAAGTTGATTAATGTTATAAAAATAATTAGATTTTTGGAGGTATTTTCACATCGGTCTAGCTCACGTAAATACTTGTACGAAATGCTTTGGCGGATGCCTTAAAATTAAACAAATTTTATAACTCCGTTGGAAAACCTGCAACTTTTTTTTGTGATGCACCCTAATGTACAAACACATATGTAAGTATATTTTTTGGAATTTTAGTATCAGCTATGCACCTTACGGCTTAAGCTGCAGAAGATTGTTTTTTATTCCGAAATTGACATATATGTGCATACAAATCTATAAATGTTAGTGACTGCATCCCAGTTGGAAATCCATGTCTGACTTTCGCAAACCGCGTATGTTACTTAAAGAACTATCAAATTCAGATCGTTTAAAGTCGTTTATTACTTTTCCAAACAATTAAAAATTTTGCAGGTCTCTTTGTCTGACATAGTATTCAGCATTACGCTTTTCTTCCTAAGTCATGGGGCCAAAAATTTCTTTTTTTTCTAATATTCGTAGTTAATGCTACCGATTGCCTTCCGAAATTTCGTAAAATATTTAATTGGCAAAGTACATTTCCTCTTACAAAATTCGGCAAAAAAAAATCGGAAAGAGAAAAAATTTTTTCTTTAGTATGTATGTATGTAACTCCTCTATGTGTATAATCCACACGTGCCACTCTGGCCATATTTCCAATTGTTTTGCTGCCGGTTTGATGAGCTTGGCCGACTTCCGCTGTAGGCTACTTTTGATGACGTTGCAAGTAACCCTGGCTTCTTCAAGCAATACTTTTTGTAAATTCATACAAACATACACACATGCACATGTAAATATGTCGATATACATATGTATGGTATTTTGAATGAATTTCAGGGAGTTCGCATTGGATTTTAGATTTTGTTTTAAAAATACAAATTTTTGTTAAACTTTTTTTTTTTTTAGATTTTAGGCACTAATTTCTCTTTTTTTTTTGATAAAACTTTTTCCTTTTCTAATGTATTTTTAAATTTTATTGTTTTAAACAGAAAAAAACATTGTTTTATTTCATTTAAGTTTTAAAAATATTTTTATTTAGTTTTGCTCTGTTTTCAATTTATTTACTTTTTTTCAGTAAATTTTTTTTTAATAAACTTATAAATATTGTTTTAAAAATGAAAAAAGCATATATGTATATTTCAACTTAAAAAAAAAAATTATTGCTAAAACGCGAACAGCATAACGCTAGGGCCTCTTCGGTAGCAGATCTTTCAATTAGTCTTTCGAAAGACAGTGAAGAGCTTACAATATGGTTGCCAGAATTGACAATTTTCTAACGAAAGACTTTCTCCCGAAGGACTGTAGTAAGTTGAAAGACAGTTGCCAGAATTACCCTGTAATAGTTGATTTGGTGGATGTAATAACAGCTCTTCGTGGATTGTCTCGATTAATTCCAGAAGAGAAAAAAATACAGTTGAAAATGCGGAAGAAAAGTACTGAAGTTGTATTTAAATAAAACTCCCGAGGTTTATAAAAAAAGAATATTTTAAAACTATATGGCAACTCTAAGCGAATGTATTTTTTATAAGAAATTTTATTTATTTGTAGAAAATCAATTAATTTTAGATACACGAATTCATTATTTTTACTTTAATGAGCCAATAATTTTGAAGAATAAATTAAAATTTTACCGATATATTGTTAAATCATTAAATTATTTAAAATACATTGGTCTAACAGGCAGCTATGTTTATTAACACTCATTCAGATGAGGGAATTAATTATAAAAAAACCATTAAAAAAGAATTTTTCTTCAAAGAGTTTTCTTCTGTGAAAAATTAAATTAATAAAAATCCAAATAAACTAAATCACAAAAGTCGCCAATTTTTTATTTTTTATTTGTTCATACCACAATAGAAAACATAGAAATAAAATTTCTAAACTTTCTGCAAACCTCGGGAAAATTCAATAAACTTTCATTAAATCACTCAACTTTTTTGTCAGATTTTTTTTTTGAAAATTTTGAATTGTGAAGTCTATTAAATTTTAGTATAATAAAGTGCAGGTTTGAAGTTGATAAAAAATTCCGTTGATTTCACCAACACCGCTAACAAAGACATGGTCGGTTTCACCATATTTCCGGTATCGGGAATCGAGTTGTTTTAGTTTTCGGCACGCTTTCATACATTTATATATATATATATATATTTCTTTTTAATATGCCCTCCTAGGGAAATTTCTCGGTTGGTATGCCATATTTATGGTTTCTAACTTCTTTCTAACTCTAAGCTACAAAGCAAGACTTCCCCATATTTGGGGCAAGTTGAAAATAAGGCGCACCCTATTGTTGCCTGAAATAATGCGGCTTCTAAAAAAATGTGGAAAGAGAAAACTATCCGGCGCGCCTATTAATATAAGTTGAAAGTTTCTGAGTATTAAAAAAAATATATTTTGAAAAGAAAGTGATTTTTTTTGTTTCTTGAAATAGTAAACAATTTCGTTGGATAATTTTCTTATTATTGTTTTTACTTGAACTTACCAAAGTAATT